TCCGTCTTTTAGTGGTTTTCGACAGTCGCTGCTTTCGTAGTCTGGCCGAGGTGGGATAAGGTAAGCGGTTAGTAACCTTGAAGTAAGTCGTCGGGTGTTTGGGAATGTATCGAAAACAAACTCACTGGTGCATCGAATTCAGCTCAAGAGGCTCCGTTAGTTAGGCCACGTTTTGCGTATGTCTTACGGTCGTCTACCGCAACGTTTTTTATTTGCAGCGGCCGTTGCAAACTGGAGAAAGCCAAGTGGACGCCAGCAGACGACGTGTAAACGAGGCATGCAGAAATGTATAGAGCTATTAGGTAGTTTAGATGTCTCTCGTTTTCCGGATTGGGGTTCAACAGACTCCGTAACCAAATGGTTAGAGACACTGAAGCAGTGACTACACAGGTATTCACTACAAGTTACTGAGCGAACAATCATCGCGACGAAGCACTATTCGCGCCCGACAGGTTACATGCAGATCCTAACACACCATTGAGGCTGTGAAGTCAATGGTTTTGAACATTCGGTCGTTTCACTCTTAAAGTTCGCGTGGATGTCACTCACAATTTGGACTACGTTGCCCCAAATGTTTATAACCATACAACTGACAGTCCATATATAACGACTCTATTGAAACACTGGAGAGGATCCATATCAGACCACCAGAACAAGTATTAGCGGGCTGCGTTTTGTTTACTTGTAAACAAAAAGAAGAGATTTGATCAGTTTTTGAAGAGATTAAAAACACCAGCAAATGATTGCAACTTCTGGTATGTTAGGGCCGAAACAGAATCAAAGTGATGCAATAATGGATGCTTTTGTAAGCGGTATGCTGTTAAAGTTTGCACCAGCGTCTGTTGGCAGTCAGGAGTTTGAACTTGGCAAGCGTCATAGAACTAGCAAGTTGCCTGGAAATGGTACAGAGGCAATTTAGTGAATTCAATTCAATTTCGAAGGGTCTTATGCGGACGTTGGATATACATATCAGACTACGGTGTGATCGTCCTTCCTGTGCGCCCATGGATGAGGAATGCGGCGTGATCGCTGGAGTAAAATGGAACAGGACTCGCTACTCAACTCGTATCTGCGTTCCTCAGGGATATTTCGAGGTTCGAAGCTGACGATTTGGTCCTTAGAAGCGAGTAAAGTTCTTGATGGTTTGATACAAGGCCGAGTTTTGCAGTAGTTCCACGAGATGGAACTCGGTGGAAACCTTGAGATAACCACATCAACCTTTCTTCAAGCTCATGTGGAGTGCGCGGAAATTTCTGTCATGCAAATCACATTACGGGGCTACTGATCGACGCTTTGCAGTCTTCGAAACATTGATAAAAGGTCATTTCAGTGGCTCTGCTACATATGCTTAGCACTGGCGGAGGGCGCCGGTCGAAAATCTGCTGCAGATGTATGCAACACCGGAGTGAAAATCCAGAACTCACTGGATTCGCAGGAAGAGCTGACAAAAATCG